AACCATGTTTGTGTGCTTGTTGGTTTACTTGTTAGTTCAGTTCCCGTTCTTCCTACAAAAATTAGGTGCATTCAGAAAGAGTTTCCCCATTGAAGTGTCCTTGTGTGAGATCACAACCCGAAAAGTTTGTTTCTGTCATCCGAAACATCTAATTAAGGAACCAAGTTCTCATAAATAACTCCAACTTACTTGTTCTTCTAATGCCAAAATAATTAAAATTTTCTTTTCTTCAATGCGTTTCCAAATTTTTGCACATAACATGTATGACAACTACAGGTCAAATTAATTCTGAGTTGCTATCATCTCATTGGCAGAAGCAGCACCAACATTATCCAGGAAGGGGGCTTGCTGCAATTTAATTTTGTACGCTGACCTGGATTTCGCCTCGGCACATTCCTATAAGGATGACAAGGACGAAGTTAACAATCAAGGCCAATACGAACCACTGCAATGTAGTTAACTATCTAGGGCAGTGACCAAGACAATTCTGATCGCAGATTGGAAGCGACACAGTCACATTAAATTAGTGTGTTACTCGGTTGACATCCAAGAAAGAGTATTTTCCCTATCATCTATCCCTATATTTTGTATTCGTACTGTAACGTAATATGGCTGCGCGAAATTGTATTCAATTGTCATTCAAACAATTTCTGGATTTAATTGATGTAATTTCACTGTTGCTACAAAATTAAATTTCTGAGAATTTAATTTACATGCGTTCCCCATAGACCTATAGCCATAATAATATCTGTAAGTTCACTGAATTAAATCGATATATCATTCTATCATAGATTGCTTTCAGTTCAATTCCTGAAGCAGAACCGTTTGGACGGTCGGGAGAAAGTGCAATAAAAGCAATAGGGGGATTGACATGTCAGGCGCAATAACAAGAAGACATTGCTCCTCTTCTATTCTATTCACTTCCGTATCGGATCAGTTGGAAGTAACACGTGTTTTTTCGTCCGAAATCTGCAAGGAAAATGCGAAAGCTTATCGTACTGCAGAATGAATGTTCACGAGTGTGCTTAACTTCACAATTTATCTACTTATTTAAACTGGATGTTTGAATAACAAGAGAGACAGTGTCCAGAACATTTCCATCCCTAAATCAATTCGTTTAACTCTCGTCAAATGTGTTTTTTCTCCTTGTTGAGGAATTATCTTGCCTTTGCATAAGCTCATCAATATATGAACGCATTGGTTAATTTGATAATTTCTAAACCATCTTCGTTGATAAATGAATTTCAAAGAGAATATGACAGTATTGTTCACAAAATCACTGAAACCTAGAACTTGAAACCTAATTGTGCTAATTAACTCTACCGCATATATTTTCTTGCCGGCGCTCCAATATTCTCAAGCTTGAAAAAGCTCTGAACATGAAATCTTTTCACAATCTGCAAAGCCATCCATCATCATTAAAAATAAATATTTCTGATGACTGTATGCCCATTACTAACTGTGCCGTGACATCACTCTAAAGCTTTACCCTTCCGCTTTTTCTCTGCCCCACAAGCTTTCTTTCATGCCAATGCATCAGCCAATAAAGCCTTGGAAAATTTTACACTAATTAGAGAGACCGAGGTTTGAATGAACGGCTTTGACACAGACGTATCGTCGTCCGATCGCCTAGCCTATAATGAGAACCTCTTAAGACACTTGATGTTTTTTAAATAAACATGGACTCGGTGACCGAACTCTCGCTTCTCTTTACCTTAGAGATTCTAATGAGATACTCCCAGGAAAGAAATCATGTTCTGTGCACTCATTAAATGTTTGTACTCGAATGACAGTGCAACATCCGGTCGAATGGTCCTTCATGGCGCGTTTGATCTTATTTTAATCATAACTTGAAAATAACTCGACCTGCTGTTGCGCTAATTAAGCAACTCTTGCTGTCATTCTCTCTAATTCAAAAAGAAATAATAGCCCACTCAACTTAATTGACGACTAAACTGAACTGATAATATTTATCGATTAATTAACAGAGAATTACGACCATTCATCATAAGTACGACTTAGTAAGTGATAGTTGGTAAGTTACTCCATGTAAAACTATTTGGTTCGGCATAATATTATATTACGTTATAGCTGCGCAGCTGGGTGGTCGCACTTGTGCAGCGCACCGGGTTCTCATGGCTTTTTTTTTATATTTTACATATTTCTGGCAAGGTAGAGGTGCTTCCTCGTTTATTTGAATAAGTTAAAAATGTCTATCACGTTAATTTATTTCGATTTTTAAATATTTTTGGGAAGGTTGAGGTGCTTGCTCGTTTATTTCAATTATTTAGGAATGAGTTTTAAATGATTCCCAAGTCAATTTATATAAATTGGTACAGACTTCTGAGATGGTAAAGGTACATGCTCGTTTTTTTTAATTATTTTAAAATTTTTGGACCATGGATGACCTCGCTCCAAACACCTCTGACATCACAACGCGCTTCTATTTAGCCAAGATGATTCGATACAACCACTAACGCAGTAAGCCATGCATACTCTCACCGACATGCACAAATTTTATGCTTCATGAACTTGAAGTTAAATTTAAGATTCTAATGAAGGTTTTTCCAACTAAATCTTCAGCCATATGTTTTTCCTATACATTTCATTGAAGGAACACAGAATACGATGTGATGGTACAGTGTAACGATGGAAGAATCAAATCTCATATATTTTAGTCCATTGATGTTGTGCATCTCTATGACTTGTCACCTGTAGTTGCTGAGCAGAATGGTCTTTGGCTGTTATGATAAATATTTGTATGATAACATATTTGTATGACATCATATTTGCACACAGGTCTCGGGCAGTAGAACGGATAAAACACGACACGACTAGGCTTCAAACAAGCAGACACCGCCAATTATTTATTTTTTAGTGCGTTTTCTTTGTATGGATGGCTGTAGCCTAGCTGGCACTAGAAGGGCCACTCCATCGCGTATCCACGCTATGATCCTTGTCTGCATGTTGCCTGGATATCACATCTTGTTTCTCGTAGATGAATCATTGATGGTTTCGAACTAATTTTGAAATGAATTATAAAATTAAATGAAATTTAAATCTGAAGAAGGATGTATTTTTGCGAATTTAGGGTATTTTTAGGTTTTTTTAATAAAAAAATTTTTAACTCAATACTTCTGATGATTAAATCTTGAATTGTTAGGCAGCATAAGCACGAATGCCAAATTTCAAGTTTCTAGGATTAGAGACGAAACGAAACTAAGAAAAACGTGGTAAAATTAAATGAAATTTAAATCTGATGAAGGATGCATTTAATTCATAATGAAAGATTTCATTTCGTTTACAATTCAGAGCAGGGGGAAAAAATATGGATTTGAATGAGTATTTCTCTTTACTTCGTGTGATTTCAGTTAGTAAATCATTGCGATAGTGCGGAAAATGCTTCTTAAACGAATTTTAATTCTTATTTTTATACTTATACTAGTAGTGGCAGTTTCACTATATAGGGCAAGAAAAGCGAGCGCTGCAGACGGTTTGTTCGTATTTTCTTACTCAATGAATTATCGAACATACATTTTTAAACCTTACGTAAGATGTTTATTTCCTCATTATTTTATGCACCTGAACACATTTTATTTCTGATCAGGGTGATTAGTAACGTCTCGATGTTCTTGACAAATTACTGCAATTCATATAAAAAATTATTCGTCATTCTAAATCTGAACCACGGCATACACTCGGAATACGTTGCGTAGAACGCGACGATGATACCTGTGATACCAAGTGAGGCTTTTACACAATGAAGAAAGCAGAAACTAACACATATTTTCATATATAAAAAACATGCAGAGACTAGCAGGTTAACCTGATGCTACTGAGAAAGTTGTGTGGTAAGATAAGAGGTTAACGACGGTAAGCGGGGGTGGTAGACAAGTTAATTCGACCGATTATCCGAGCATAGCAGTTTAACCCTGTGATGCTTGGAAAAAAACGTTGTGCGAGTCCGTTGCAATTCAGACGTGGTAACCAATATAAATTTCACCCTCGCTGAAGATCACAACGATATCTATGTTATCTCTAAAAGAATTTATGACAGATATTGACATCCTTTATTGATCCCAGACTTCTGGCGAACACATGCACTTCCACAAATTTCATAAATTTTGCTTTATTTCCAATATCTTGAAAATAAAGATCTTGCATGTTGCGTATTCAGATATAAGAGTCCTTAGTGTTACTGAGGCTTTTTCTATCTATTAATACTGATATTCAGAATAACTACTGAAGTAATAAAAATACTCAAATGAAAATGAAGTAAATTTGCTTTCATTACTTCATTTTCCATTCAGTATTGCTGAGCATTTTTTAATTCCAATTGGTAAAAACATTTGTAAGATTGATTATCAACTGGTTGAACTTGTCATATGTATGCATTACAACAATTTTGAATCGATGACCAGCACTATGTCTAATAGTAGTGTAATAATGGTATTAGATACTTGAATGCTTGAAGCATTCTCCGTGGATTTGTGCCAAATTTACTCAATTTACTAGAGATGACAAAGACGCAATAAGAAATTGCCTGGGAGCGTTGGTCCCTCGGAGAAGCTGAATCAGTTTATCCGTCCATACACCCCGAGGAAGCTGAGCCCCAAACCTTCAACAGTTGGAAAACCCCCACTTAACCCCACCACGGTCCGATGACGTCACTGTTCTATAAGAGGACCGTATTACTGAACGAAGCCTTGGCCTGCCACCCCTCGGTACATCACCTCCCTTTTGTAGTGAGCCCAGCCCTCGGATTGGTCCGCAGATCACACGTCAGGGGTGAGGCACGTTCGTTGGCCGCTTCTTGCGGTAGTAATCAATAGGGAACTCAACAACCAATGGCAGACTCGCTTCCATCCTCTTTTGGCTCGCGATACATAGAAAGAAGATAGAAATTTATATAAGTCGCGTAGGAGTGTGGAACCCAAGCTTCTGTCCCTCCAGTCAGCTATATAAGACTCGGGAACTCTCTCAGAGGCCAATCTCGCGCCACATCTGCACCACGACGGTTATCTCTGCAACGACCTACTGTGGCTGCTGCAGCTACTGAGCCCTGCTAATAAGGTGTCTTGACTTGTGATTATCAGTGAACATTGTTATTAACGGCTTACTATTTCGAGAAAAGTGATTGCTAATTGTGAACTGGTTAATACACGGTACATCTCTCCACCGTTCATCGTACACGGTGAGTAAACCTTAAATTTCATTGTTTCCGACAATTGTTTTGTACATTCGTCCTTTAATCATTTCTGTGTAGTTTTATTTAATTCAAGTAACATTCCCGTAGTGAATTGTTTACCAAATGTCTAATTATAAGCCGCATTTGTGGCTTCAAGAATTTAGGACTTAACAATAAAAAATTATTAGTGGAATTTAGCCGTCGATGATCAGTGTTAGGAACTGCAGATTGGTGCTTACTTGCCAGTTCGTTAATAGTCCTAATTTTAGTGAACAAAATAAAGGGAATTTCCTCTCTCCGTACGCTAATAGTGTTCGATGTACGCTTTATTTACTGTGAAACATAAACGAATGTCCAATTCACGATGAATGCATAGATTAAAACAGTTATTTCATATATGTTACGAACGTCAATCACACCTATCACGTGAATGTAAAAATTTCATTCAATGAATTGGAAGTTTGCGATTCGTCAAAGTCTGATTCGAAATCTAATTTGGAAATTATGTTTGGAAATGAATCAAATCAGCGTTATTGTATTTGGAAATGGGACAATAAAGCGTTATTATAAGAAATTTTTTGCTGCTCGTTGATTTTGTGAAGTTTTTGTTATCAATGATGAAGATTGCATAATTCATCATGAATATTGATATCGAAACTATTTGGCCCAAAATTATTTGAATTTACTGTTATGAAATGTTCCGTCTTTTATTTGAAATTAATATAGTTTTCATTTTATTTGAAAAATAGTCATTCAACAGGTTAATGTGTACAGAATAAAATTTAATATTTGCCACGAAAAAATATTTATTTTTTTCGGTCTCTCTAGCCGGATATCTTTACGTTTATCACATACTTCTCGAGCTTGAGCGAATCTAACTTCCAAATGCGCTGTCGAGCCAATACAGCTAATGCGACCTCACAAAATTTCCGTAATGGCATTTATCCATCCTTTACTGCCGTCAGGGGCCATACTTTCAAACCCCGCTAAGTGAACGTAAGTACTTACGCTCTATTTTCTTGTCTATGATTGGTGGATTTTGCTTGAAAGACCGTCAATGATCTCTTAACTTTTTTTGAAAGTATGGGCTCGGTGCACATACTTTCAAAAAAAGTTAAGAGATCGTAAGTTCATCAGCCAATCATTGACGGCCTTTCAAGCAAAATCCACCAATAATAGACAAGAAAATAGAGCGTAAGTACTTACGTTCACTTAGCGAGTTTTGAAAGCTGACCACGGGCTCTGGTACAATTAAGAGGACATGTATTCATCCTGTACTTCTGTCGGCACCACGAGCTCTGGTACAAGATGATATAATAAGCAGTGAGTGAAGTGAGCACCCCTCCAGCTCTAGTACAAGAGAATATTATAAGCCTCGGGTGCAGTGAACACTCCACCAGTTTTGTCATTAGCGGTTATAATAGACAGTGAGTGGAGTAAGCACTCCACCAGTTTTGGCATCAGCGATAACAATAAGCTTTGAGTGGAGCGAGCACGCCACCAGTTTGCCATCAGCGATAAAAATAAGCAGTGATTGGAGTGAACACTCCACCCGCTTTGGCATCAGCGGTTACAAAAGACAGCGAGTGGAGTGAACACTCCACCAGTTTTGCCATCAGACCTGACATGAACAATTTGGGAGCTTCGCTATAATCTGCTATTTGAATAACATCTGTTTTTTATTATGTTTGTCTACTTATTGCTGCGAGCCTTATATACTCTTTGCTTTGCTTATGTTGGATTTTTAATATCAATTTCGCCCCTCTCTAAAATATAAACTACTTTGCGTCAAACTAGCCCAGGACGCTACCTTCAGCCGCGCCTAAATAACATACAGCTCAGGGTCACGGCTATTAACACGCACTCTGTTAATGCCCACAAGGATAGACCATGTCATGCAATGACCCTAGTCTTATTTTGGGTTTGCTATTTATAATGCCCACAGCCTCTGTCCAGTTCATAACTTGGGTCATATCCGTTTCTATTCTGAGCCTGGAAATGTTCTTGTGGCGCCATAAGTTCCCAAATGACCGAGTCTGAGCGCCTGGGACGATTTGGGGGCTTCTAAAATAGCCCGATGTCAGGCATTCATGTTATTATGTCGGCTTCACTCACCGCAAAACTGCCTAACTTCCAGAATTACCTCCAACTTTAGTATTAGCTATCTTTGATCAGTACTACTAGGTTGTAATCTTCATGATTATGGTATACATTCTTTCAGCATGAATAGAGATCCCTTCATTGACTTAAATATCGAAGCAATGGAAATGAGCTCTATGTAATCTTTCGTTTTGAGTGAAAATTTATGTGATTAAGATTCGCTTTTCGTCAAATTTATTTTTAACTCGACTCTGCACGAATTACCCAGCAAATTTCGGATATTATGTTTAAATATTACTAACGTAAAAACCTCATATTAAAACAAGCGTTAATCATTTTTGCAAGTTTAAAACGAAATGTAACTTTTTTATTATTTACTATCACAAGATAAAAGACAATCGACTGAAAAGCTGTTATTGTCCTCATGTAATCATGTCTATTAACCGAACTCTAAGCTGCACTTATTTCGTGCCTCGATCATTTCCTGGTTCAATACGATTTTTTCAGGCAGGTTTTTCAATACGATTCTAATATAAAACTTCCTATACATAGGATGTTTCAGGATTCATTCTTCAATAATGCAGCACCGATTATAATGCCTTGCGCTAGATAACGGCTGTTGAGGAGCGTGCTCAGAAAGGTTGCCTTTTTACGGCCTTTCCAAGAATAGCCGACCATTTATACGCTTTGATGATTGGGCTTCTGATCAATACAGTTACTCACTTGCGACTGCTGATTAACGTACTTGCAACAGTGCATTTCTCAATTCAAAGAAATGTAACATAACTTCGAATTTGCGGCGAACTCTTTCCGGCCGAGGAAACATGGAAAAGAAGTATATTATTCTTTGTTTATGTAATTTGGCAAATATTTTCTACCCGCCCATATCGAGTAATCATCATTATATCAGATAGTTACTCTAAAACACTTATCAATAGATTTTAAATTTTTTCTGTGCATAGTACGTATAAATTGAACTTGAATTTACACGTGCGATGCTGAATACTGATTATATTCGAGTTAACTACATGGATGAAACCATTAACTCGAAGACCGGAACTACGAGCTTGCAATGAAGAATATTATTCATATTTCGAGATCGGATGACCAATGATATTCGTATTGAATTTACACTCTGAATTACATACCTTTAGTCATTTAAAATGGCCTTTTAATGCAGCCCTCACGCTGGAAATAGTCACGGGTTTTTAGTGCGACTGACGTCAAGCTTACGTCATTTCTATCGAGCCGCCCATTGCCTTGGCGACGAGACACCCAAACGTCTCCACCCTCATGAAATATACACGAGGTTCGACAGCTGAAGCTTGCGTCTCGCTAAATGCACATTGAGAATGGGACACGAATCCAGCCTTGCTATAAATTTATACGAATGACTGACATAGGATTTGTTCAACCGATCTTGAATATTGCGAACTTGTTTAGATTTTTGTTCTCTCATTACGCTGTAAAATAATCTCTGGTCCATTGGATCAGCTGAAACATAATTTTTAACTTTACGTCCATCGTTGAGCCGTGTTTGTCGTGACCGCGACCATTTCGGCGGGAATTTTCAGACCCGACATTGCTCAAGTCATATAATCTGTCGCATCACTTATTTCATTGATAGTTTTAATATGCGTATTTTTAAATGTCAGCTGATAGAGTTATTTCAAGTGAATATTTTAGAAATAAATATCGCAGTGCACTAACGCAGCTTCTGCTACCGTCCATTCATCGTTTCTGGCATCCAGGAAACGCGCAAACTTCCAGTGGCGAGCAATCGATGACGAAGTTTTCAATTCCGTCGCTCTTAATTGGATTCTATTTTATATGACGTTCCATTCATCAATCCCTTCATTGGTTCTCAAAACATGCTTCTAAATATCGAACGATAACTCAATTCACTGATGAATGAATTCATTCCTATTTTGCAACGTTTACATCGCAAATGCAATCAAACCTCCGGCAGATCCGTATAGCGGCGGTCACATCAGGAAGCCCGGAGCGTTGCCTAGCAACCCAAGTAGAATCTCGGCCGCCTCGAATAACAGAACTCCCAGTTCTCCCTTCATCCCTGTTATCTCACATCCTAGTTCTCTCCTCATCCCTGCCCTCCCTATTCGCCACTGAACCCTGTTTTCCCAGTTCTCCATTGAACCATGTTCTCTCTGTTCGCCATTGAGCCCTGTTCTCCATTGAACATTAGCACGTAGCTGAAAGCAACCTATTTTACCCGACTGATAACAATTCAGTGCCCAGTAAGAATAAAAATTTATGTTAAATTATTAATCGAAGCCATTTTCGGCTGAAATTTCTTTTTTTCAAAAAAGAACATTTCTTTGTTTCAGATCCGCGAAAGACAATTAATGAAGATGCATGCCATGCTGAGAACAGCCGTAACCGTGACCGTAGCATTGGCCCTGACGACCGCCATGCCGTACCGAAGCACGCAAGGAGTGCTCAGGAACCGAGCTTCGCTAAACGACTTTCTGACGACGTACCTACAGGCGGTGCAGCAGAGGGCTGAACCGCAGTACGGATACTTAGAATACCAGCCTTCTTACCAACAGGGATTTATTGCTCACCGACCCAGGAGAATCTCCGTGAGTTTTGAAGCGATAGTGAAAAGCACCTGAGTGACTTGTCGTGTTAAACATAGGTAAACTTTGTGTTTATGCATGAGATTTGTGCAAGTGAAGTATAATTAAAGAAAATTCCTTTATCATGAACAATTTGAGTCAGTATGGATAACCTGAATAACAGAGCGTTTCTTATTCTTTCCTTGCAGCAACGGGCGGAGCCCTTCGTTCAGTACCTAAGATCTACTAATATCCAGCCGGATTATCAGTCCTACGATTACCCTGAAACTACTGATGAAACTTACGATGGAATGTGGTACGATGAAGCGCCTAGCACTGTCATTGGTAGTCCTAGTTTCGTCCCACAAACTCCCGCAGTTTCCGATATGCTGGAGAATGAGCCAACAGAGCAAGACTTGGCCCTGGCCCAACTTATGCTAGACCACATCGCTGGCAAATACTCGCTGGAGGACCTCGAAACCCTGGAGAGGGAAGCGCGCATGGAAGAAAACACTGAACATCAACTCCGTGCTCTTACAAAGAAGGTAAAATTCATGGTATCTGAAAAATCATAATTTGTTCGCCTAATTACCTAGTATTTTTTACGACTTTACTATAATTTCATGTGTTCAAATTCTAACTGAAAATTCATGCCATCGATGCTATTTGACATCAAGTTAACTCTTTTGATTCTCAAAAATTTTCACGATTTACCTTATGAACGTTCAGGTGCACCGTAAAAAGTCCCTCGCTCTACCGTTCATGAGCGACAACCAGCGAGTCCGGTCTTCAGCTCTCTCATCACCTCAAAACGCCGGAATATCCAAATCAAGGACCACCGCCAGACTAGTGGCATCTGCCCACCCGTCCGTAGTGTCCATGCACAGTATCGGCCAGCGGCGCGGGCAGAAGGAAGAGCCCGTCATGGTGCCGGCGACAAGCGTCCGCCGGCCTGTCTTCGTTCAGCACCTCGAGGAGGTAAGTTTAGACTGATTGAAAATTATTACAGTGTTGAGCTTACTCTCATTTTTCTTGAAACGTTCCCTTTAATGACAAATTCTAAGAACCTAACATGATTCCTAGAATTTGTAAAGGAAATCTGCCAAGGTCATTCAATTTATTGTAGAATTTACTCTTCGTTCCTTTTAAAAAGCTAATGGAGATACGAATGAAATTCTACAAATTTCTAAATGTCGAAACAAAATCGTAAGAAGGGTTCAACTAAATATAAACTTACTGATGTGTTGGTTCTTGATGTGATACTTTTGAAATAAACCTTTCGATATAAGTAAGTCTACAATAAATGTACAGAGTAGTCATTAACACAAATTTGCGCATGTATTTCCAGGAGAAAAACACCAAAGACTCAGCTTTTGGCTCAGGGTTGCATCAGCAGGAATTAGTAGAAAAGAAGAGCCTAAACTCAGCTCCTTTGGCTCAGTCTCTGGCCTCCTCGACTTCCGGTCCAGTTGAGGCGATGGCAAAATCAGACAAGTCACTGACATCAAAGCCCTCTTCTCCTGTCCTTGACACACCAGCCGGAAGCCCAAGAACGAGCGGAGTTGTCGAAGTTGTAAAAGTCGGCACCAAAAGCGCGTTGCCGAATGCATCCGGCGCTGAGGATGGAACTGGCTCAACGATGGCACCTTACGTGCAATCTGCATACGAAGCTCTCAAGCATTACCTCGAAACGGAACGAAAAGCACGAATGGTGAGTAAATGTATATCAATTTGATAATTAACTGATGAATCCATACGATAATTAGAACTAAGAAAGTGATAGAATGTAATCATATGTTCTGATAGTTTTCATTCTATTGTCGGGTTATGTTTAAACCGAATTTTGAGACAAAACAGCTAGTAGTAATTAAATTTGAAAAAAAGAAGCAAGTGACGTAGCTAGCAATTTCTTAGGTGTGCATTAAACCTATTGTTGTATTTAAAACTGATATAAAAAAAAACACCATTGACGTTGCACATGGAAGCCATGAATCACAATAAGACTTCCTTGTCAAGAGAAAACTTAGAGATTAGAGAAGCCCTGGAAGTGGCGTTGTCAGGACAACGCAGGTACAACCTGTTGCCAAAGTTAGTGGGAGTTGCGGCGGTGCCACGATAGCACTACCGCGCAAAATCGTTAGTCGTTCAGCCATGATTCCGCTGTATTGACCAACAAAACAATATTTATAGATCATTTGCGCTATGATTGCAAAATTTGTATCCTCGCTAGAGCCAACTTCAACAATAAGAGCGAATATCGCCGACCCTCGTCAGAGTCACGTAGCAATTGCAAGCGAGGTTCTGAAACTATTGACTAGGCAGACGTGGCACAGCGCACCGCCCACTCGCTCCTTAAAGTGAGATGTACCTCACGGACGGCAACGGCGCTGCCGCCCCCGACTCTGGTGCAGCTTGCAATAACTCAAAATATTGTTAGAAACACACTGCGTCCCTTCCTGTGTCCTATCTCGTAGTCACGCTTCGTCTCTTTCTGGGAACTGTATCTCGTAGACACGCACCATCTCTTCCTGTGTGCTGTATCTCGTAGGCAAGCACCGTCCCTTCCTGTGTGCTGTATCTCGTAGAGACGCTCCGTCCCTTTCTGGGAACTTTATCTCGTAGACTTGCACCGTCCCTTCCTGGGAACTTTATCTCGTAGACTTGCACCGTCCCTTCCTGGGAACTTTATCTCGTAAACGCGCACCGTCCCTTCGTGGGCGCTGTATCTCGTAGACTTGCACCGTCCCTTCCGGGGAACTTTATCTTGTAGAGACGCACCGTCTGTTCTTAGGCGTTTTTTTTTAGAAATGTTAGATAAATGGGAAGCAAACGCGCGATCGAAGCACATGAGCCGATATGCGCTAAGTAGGTGTGAGCAAATAAGTTAGGTTGATGCGAGCAGAGATACATTAAGTAGATGTGAGCGAAAAAGCATTCATTGACTTTTAACATCACACGTTGGCAGATATTAACAATCGCACGCTCTCTAGATGTGAGAAGAAAACTCCCTTTGTTAGATATCAACAAACAAATATTTTTAAATTGCAAAAATAACATTTTTGCAGCAGATGTTAGCAAAATTTTCCCCTACAGGTCCACTGAAGCAGAAACTATTTCTGCCGTGCAGTTACGTTATTTTATAATTAAAATGAAAATAAAATTATTCCTTACTATTTAAAATCATTCTGTATTTTCTCATCTTTGCAGGATGCTGATCAAGAATCATTCAAATCCATACAGAAGAGGTTCATCCAAGAATCTGATCCCTTGGCACGTCAACTGAACGCCCTCAAGAAAACTATCGCGTAGATGAAAGATCAAGTAGAATACATCTTTTGAATTGTTTGTGGATGAGGTAGAACCGTAGAACTACTTCCGAGAAGAAGGCTTCATGCGTCCTGAGATCACTTTTCATCTCTACTGTAGATAGTTCATGATGAGCGTTATTCGTGTGAACACATTTAATAACTTCGACAAAACTTTGATTCATTTTTGAATATTTTATTTATTTATTTTCCATTTAGCCCATTATGAGATTCAGGAAAATGCAGCTCGTTAGTGCATCACTTCAACAGTTATGCTCGAGATAAATTGAATAACTGAGAAGAAAGGAAGCTCAACGATTGTCACTCATTGTTGCTGCAAACTATTCTTATTTATTTACCTGCAAACTAAGTAAAATTTAAAATCTGCTCTGACATAAATGTGTTTTGTGATAAGTGCAATGCTTCGGATATCCCGAAATTTGAATATAATAGTTATTCATCTAAATTATTTCTTATGACAATTTTTCTTCGTAAAAAAATTTTCCTAGTAAAACTTACGTAATTTATTCACTTAAATAAAAAAAAAGCATGCTTGATTTTTAACAAACAGTTTTGGGCCACCCTGTCTCACGTGAACGTGAATGAAGAACTCGAACAGTTTATACTTCTGACTTCGTTATACTTTTGACAGTACCTCTGCAGGTCTGATGTAACACGCTAATCGGACAAACTTAGAGGCACAACATTATCCTATGCTTAACAAACATGTGTCGTAATATTTGCCAAATTTTATAGTAGGAACTAATTTAGGTATTAATTAAATTTTGTTTTTTTTTCGTGGCCTTGCTAGCAGTAGAACTGGGCTTCATAGCGTCAATTATTCTAATAAAGTTTTTATTTAGGTTATAATTTTACGATTATTTATAATGGAAGCATTTTACAGTTTGAAATTTCTGTTGTACTTTTTTCATCTGATCATCTGTTCATATTGCACTAGTGCTGACTTCGCTGTCACTAATAACTTATCTCAACAATGGAAGACTTGCAAATTTTAAGCGTGCAATTTTGCACCGTATTCCTCATAACGCCTTGGTAATCGTGTCACCATGGCCTCACATTCACCACAATAATTACTCATCGTACGCCAATTAAATTACTGAAAGCTTCAATACCTGTGCTATCTCTTCATAATTTGAATGAGCAAAAGACGGGGCAAATAATAAGTTGAATGTGTGTCCCTCTCACTCTTTCTTCTCATATCATCTATCTCATGTTATCATGTTCACGATGATCATTATCATCACTGCCTTCCATTCCATATAACTGCATGATTATACACCCATTACTAATTTAAGAGTATCATTATCATATATATAACAGTATAACACTGCTTTCTATAATCATCTTTTTGCACATTACTGCTCTTGGAACTTAGTTTCCCATATTCACAGCTGACCGCTAACCGTTCTCATCAAATAAAGGAAAGTTTCTATCATATCTCATATGGCATGATATTTAACCATCATTGCCATATCTCTGAGAAAAAAAAATGAATTGCCATCACCTCTAATCGGGTCAATCTTACTTATGTTTTTTAAGAGAACATCGATATACCCGACGAGTGAAACCAACTATATGGCTGGCTGTCACTCATTCCTACTTAACGGAAACTCTGCAGTGCAAATATGAAGCAATTCTGCTGGCGATTCAAAAAAGGTGTAATGTCATCATCTCCAATTCGTGCTTTGCGAAGTTACACTGAATATGTCTCTGAACGTTCCTCTCAATGCAGTTCACACGGTACATGCCTGATGAAAATCGCATATCATCAGAGTGTTTCATGAATTCAATAATTTTCTATTTAGACTTTACTGGAATAGAGGAAAAGTATAAAATAATCATTGATGCATCTCATTGATGAAAAGATAGATTACGATGAAACTGCATATATTATACAAAAAGCTAACTTATTTTTATATCGTATGTCTATACTTCCTTATGCTTAAATATATAAATCAATTTAAATCCTAAGTCTATACGAACTATACTTTAGGTTAAGAATATTATTGACTGTACATTTAAAGACAAAAGCAGGACTGCATCCGTAAGAACATATGTCAATTGTACGTCATGTGCATCTTATTTATTGCAGATATTTATTTATATAACGTGCAACTTTTACCAAAAATATTCCGGTACGAAACGTGATGTTAATTAGGCTACATGTTGAAAGCGCTGCTCTTGAGATCCTAACTTTTTGCTTAATTTGCCATGTGCATATCATCAAATTTTCAGCATATTCACAAAGGAAAACAAGTAAAATTCTTACTAAATCACTTTCAAGTAATAGTCTAATTTATCGTACCGCTCTTCCTATGAACCGCCTGTGGTTTGTACAATGACTTCTTTAGCCGGGAGAACTACCCTGAGTGATGGCCTGTTGGCAGCACTGTATAACACTCATCTTTGAGCGCGTAACATAAAAACTAACTGTTGTGTAGTCTTGGAAATCGCACGTTTCTCTGCAAATGATGCAGGTTATTGTATTTAATTTCATGCTTTATATATTAAAAAATGTGATAACTCTATAACATGTATAAGGATTTGTTGAATAAATCTTCTATTTTGTACCAAACGGTGGTTTTATTTCTTCCCGCCACACAATAAGTTTTGTTCACTCTACAACATATAGATGATAGAAGCAATTGCATGGACCTAAGTAGTCCTGCACTAAAATCATGCCAATTTGAATGATGATTTCATTTTGAACGGAAGTTTTCAAGTTCTTACTGCCAAAGTACGCTAAGAACTGCCTTTTTGGATAAATTTATCGGGACGTTGCTTTGCGGAAGTACAATACACCTATTCTGGTCCCCAATACCCGTTTTCTATTCGCGCGCGAAAACGCGAATCGCCGCACCTCTCGGGCACTTCATTGGTTCAGACGTTCAGTCATCTTCAGTGTATGCGTGACCTTGGTAAGGATTGGCTGTCGCAGTCACAGGGTTTTCAAAAACCTGGAAACTTCATTTGTGTTGAGTAATCATTCGATATTTTTGTGGTGTATCGTTGAAACAGTTCATTATATTCAACTTGATTCCAAGTTTCGAAATTAATGCACTCTCTTACCGCGATAAAAAGCGAGTTTGTACACTCCATTCATGCCTTATGGATGGAGTGGCACTGAGCAGTGCCCAGAAGACTCTTCAAGCAGTTTCATTTGCATCTCCCAGCGAGACATGGTTGCATGGACGTACTTGCGCATCCTTGGCTTCGTTCGTACAAAGTTCAATTGTCATGAGGTTGTGCTTGCGGATCAACAGTGGTGATAGTATCGCACGGTGAAGCCGAGTTAACGTGCGATCAGCCATGCGTACCCACTGAGAGGAGACTTGAACTCAGCAGAATCTTCGTGCAATGATCCTAATTTTGTGCTGTGCGTAATAAACGTCGCGCTCCCGGTCCAGATCCAATAACCATTCATCGTATTCCGACTTCCGAGTGACCTTGATTTCTCTCAGACAAACTTTTGGAAAAGCACTACCGTAGAAGGTTTTCTCATGATCAAGCAATTACAAAATACGACTGAAGCATGAGATTTTAAAATTAATCTTTTGCTACATATTTGAACAACAAATAAGAGTGCAAGAAATTCAGCATCTGTTCATCATGATTATACCTACGTTTACGAATGCAGCTTTTTCTTCAGTTCGAAGTATTCACGTGTAAGAACTTTTATTACAGCAAGTGCAACATTATTGATAACTGATAAGGTTCCTGAACCGCAGTAGTTAACAGAATGGGACAAGGGGTGAGGAAATACTAAGTAAGTTTTAATGAAATTGTTGCCAAGGGTGATTGATGGGAGAAAAAATGATTTATTTTTCCCTACTTTACTTACCTAGGCTCTGCTTCTGAAACGGTATCCGAATCCTATGAATATATTTTGTTGGAATGCCTTTAGGCTTTGAGTGTGAATCATTTTTACCATTGTCATTGATATAGGATCGTTATTCGAACTGTCGAACATAAAACATTCAACATATTTAGGGGCTACTTGCAATTTTTTATAGATAGTGAATGGAGTTGGACGTAGTGCACATCATTTTGCATCAACAATACCTATTAGGAATGCATCACGATACTCGTGCAGGAACAAAAGGACCTGAACATCGGTCGAGGCTGGAGTCTTCTTCCATTCCCACCTCTTACTGTTGTACCTACCTACCAAATATTTGACTAGCCTATTTGGTTCTCCTTTCTTAACTCCCCATAAAATTTCCATTTTGTTCATATCTAGTTTCAAATCTTCGTATATTTCCGTGCACGATTTGTTTATATTTGTATGCTACTACCTACTAGTGCTGCAACTTCAGTGTAATGATAGAAATGGTCGTGTAAACTTTTTTCTATAATTGTTGGAAATTTACAGGTTTCCGTTTTTCTGATGAATTTAAAGTTAGGTGCCCTTAAGTCAATCATTAAATCTTAATATTTAGAATTTTCGTTTCTCATAGAATTTTTCCTGCTTAGACAATTCTCAAATTTGATGAAATTTCGATTCAACATAAAGTAGCCTACACTAATTGGTACTATGACACGCCTAAATAAAATTTACTTACACCAAATGTTCTGAAATTGTTGTGTAATTGCTTGGTCTACTAAATTCAATAGTTGATTGGTATGTACTTCGTATTTATAAGAAGTTGCTTTGTCTCCAGAGTTTAAAATAAGTACTCCAAAATATAATCGATCCACGTGTTCTTCTAGAAAGATTGATTGCTCGTCTTCAACTTTTCATTCAACTGAAATCTGTAGTCACCTCGAACTCGATTATAGGTACGTACTGAAGTCACGTTCAGACAATTTCCCTATTTCATATACAAAGGACCAACCAAAGAACCAGCATTAATCCACTTTCATAGATTAGCTACAAACCATCTTTTCTGCTTCGACTTCCGAACTTTGTAGTTACCCGTTGGTTAATCCAACACAACTAATGACATGACACTGCCCCGTAGCTACATGCACTTTCAGGCGCGAGTATTACTACTCGTGGTAATCTTCTTGACTGCTTCCAAGGCAAGGGAAGCTGCAATTTGGATAGACGATGGCAACGGTCATACCGTGAGGGTGAGTGATGTTGAATTATTGTGGAGTGAATTAATATGTTTAAGTACAGAAAGCCAGTTCGAAAATGGAGAATAGAGCAAATCGTACGTGGGAGTTTTTGAAAAATTCCTAATTTTCTCTATTTATGAGCTAGGAGTAACTTCAAACAAAATTTTTCACGTGTTATCAGTTTTATAGGTATTATTGCAGATTAACTACATCCAAAAAAAGGGTGTTTTTTTTTAATTATATGTTTTTTGGGGTGTAGATTACGAATCTGAAATCCATTTTTGGCGGTCGGCATCGGAAAACCGATTTTTTTCGCGACTTACTAACATGGGGGTTACGTAACTTACGTTACCCACTTGTTTAATAATTTTATCACGGAAGTTTGCTCGTAGTTCACGAGTCAACTAGCAAGAAGATAGCTGTCGGAAAGGAGTGTTCTGCAACAATTATACAAATTTTACGGATGAATTCGGTGGTTGTCGATTCTCTTTGAAGCTTAGTCTTTCTCTTGGCTATGCCCACGATTTATCCATTTTATTTCATGGTCAAGGAGCCGCTCAGCCCCAGAGAAACTAGGGAGTTTTCGAGGAGTCTTCGTGAAACTATGGGCCTGCCGCAGCACAGACCGCACTTCTCGCCTGCTCACACGTAAGCATTGCATTATTTATGAGAGTCTATCGTAATAACTGATAAATTTGATCACTTCCAATTTCTCCCTTTTTTGTGGTATTCGCAATAGACGAGTTTTTTTAACAACTTCATTCGTCATTTTATTTTCGTCATTTTATTGGCAGCTAGAGTGAACATAGGACATTCATGCCATTTTCATTTTACAAATTGGGCGTTAATTCCAATCAGTCACTCTCATTAGGCCTTAGGTAAAGGAACACAAAGCAACAGATACGTTCTGCACGCAACACATTCTATACGTTTGCACGCTTTGTGTTCCAAGGAACATAAAGCAACACATTCCATACGTTTTGTCTCATTTTTTTGTAAGGATAATGAAGAGTGTTGTTCAGGTCTGTGCTGGCATCAGCGCCTACATTCATGAAGAGCATCTACAACGCTCTCGACGAACTCGGTGTGCCGCGAGACTCTAATTTGGATACGGCACACAGAGATGCACTCGAACGAGCAGACACCGTGGTGACATTCACGAGCAGAGGTTAGATATTTAGGCTGATACTTCTAATTGACGGCATTATAATAATTCTCTTCACTTGGCTTATTTTTAGCGCATTTTCTCATTTCTGGAAAAAATGTCCTATTGTGCTCGCCATGTCCGTCCGTCTGTCTGTCTGTCCGTCCGTGACTTCACGTTTTCGTCGACGATAAAATGCGCTCACTGTCACTCACTGCAGTGAGTAGTGAGTTATATTTTTTGTGAACAGTGCTTGCCAAACCGCACACATCGGCGGTTAGCACCTAAAAATATGCGCATACTATCGAGAAATTTAGACATTTTTTAACATTTTGGTCAACTGGTAATCGATAAGATAACGAATGTCAAGTACTAACATTCAAAAATACAATTAAAATAGCAATACGTTCCTAATCGTAAAATTTCAGCGAACTTTAACTCAAAAATTTCGACTGTATCTTGATTCCATTATCTGCGAAGGAAAAGCTCTGATAGTTTTCACATTATGTTCCCCGGTTGTTTACATTTGGTGCCTGCACCCTCTTCTCTCCTGCTTTGTCCATCCCTAGTAAAAAGTCCGGTCGGAGCTTCCTGCCCGTCATGTATGTAAACACACTGAGACGTAGCTCGTCTGAGGCTCACACCAGCTCACCTGCTGCTCTTTTGACCAACCCGCATCTCTTACTATCCCCCAAGCCGAAAGCTTGCCTAGTTTGGGTAATGGGTGCTGCGATTATTGTTGTTCTGTGGGTGTTGCTTGTCGAGAATGATTTCTTTTCATTATTCATGTTCTAGCTTAGCACGAAATTCAAAATTATTGTTTAGAACCTAGGGGTTAAAGTAAATGAATTGTGCATTATTTTTCACTCAGAGATATTCGTGACCGCCGCGTAAATTTTTAAACCGACAGGCAAACTGAACTGCTAAAAGAGATGTGAAGAACACAAGTCCCAACCTTAGTACTTAGTTCTTGTCGATCGCAGGTACGGCTCATTCGGGCTCTTGACGACGACAATTATGAACTTCTATCGGTTGTGTCCTTTCTTTTGGTTGATTTTTCTCAATGATACCGTATGCCACTTGCATATTTACTCCTTATTTAGATTAAAATTAACTCCTCCAGATTAATTAGATACGTGCGTTATTTTGGGTTCTATCGAGATTCTTTCCTCTGTTGTTGTCAGATCTTACGCTCGCCTGCGCAAGTTTTCACTGCAATGGATCCGCATGTATAACGGCTGGTATACAAAATAAATAACTTATAAAATCGTGCTTACATGTCAAAGGCTTTCTGAAGTAACGAATTCTGAAAATAACTAACTCACTACACAGCTCTCGCAAACTGTTGCGTAATAAATATATTTAACCAAATCATTTTTACAGCCCCGCCTGACCGATGGGACTCAGTCCCACCTAAGCATCACGCACCGCACCGCCTGCTCTACTTCGACACATCTGAGGTGTCGCTCGACTACACCATTCTTGGAGCTGAACTGCGACTGCATTACCAACCCCACTTGCCAGAGTTCGTTGACCAGCATCTTGAAGAGGTATTTATTTTATATACTGTTATTTTATAATGTTTTAACTGTTACTGTTGTTTATATAATATTTTACTGTTACTGTTATTTTATTATATTTTAGTTTATTTGGAAATGAATTTAAGTTATTCTGCCTCATGCTTATAAGATAACGAATGTCAAGTACTAACATTCAAAAATACAATTAAAATAGCAATACGTTCCTAATCGTAAAATTTCAGCGAACTTCAACTCATGAATTTCGACTGTATCTTGATTCCATTATCTGCGAAGGAAAAGCTCTGATAGTTTTCACATTGTGTTCCCCGGTTGTTTACATTTGGTGCCTGCACCCTCTTCTCTCCTGCTTTGTCCATCCCTAGTAAAAAGTCCGGCCGGAGCTTCCTGCCCGTCATGTATGTAAACACACTGAGACGTAGCTCGTCTGAGGCTCACACCAGCTCACCTGCTGCTCTTTTGACCAACCCGCATCACTTACTATCCCCCAAGCCGAAAGCTTGCCTAGTTTGGGTAATGGGTGCTGCGATTATTGTTGTTCTGTGGGTGTTGCTTGTCGAGAATGATTTCTTTTCATTATTCATGTTCTAGCTTAGCACGAAATTCAAAATTATTGTTTAGAACCTAGGGGTTAAAGTAAATGAATTGTGCATTATTTTTCACTCAGAGATATTCGTGACCGCCGCGTAAATTTTTAAACCGACAGGCAAACTGAACTGCTAAAAGAGATGTGAAGAACACAAGTCCCAACCTTAGTACTTAGTTCTTGTCGATCGCAGGTACGGCTCATTCGGGCTCTTGACGACGACAATTATGAACTTCTATCGGTTGTGTCCTTTCTTTTGGTTGATTTTTCTCAATGATACCGTATGCCACTTGCATATTTACTCCTTATTTAGATTAAAATTAACTCCTCCAGATTAATTAGATACGTGCGTTATTTTGGGTTCTATCGAGATTCTTTCCTCTGTTGTTGTCAGATCTTACGCTCGCCTGCGCAAGTTTTCACTGCAATGGATCCGCATGTATAACGGCTGGTATACAAAATAAATAACTTATAAAATCGTGCTTACATGTCAAAGGCTTTCTGAAGTAACGAATTTTGAAGATAACCAACTTACTATAGAGCTCTCACTAACTGTTGCGTAATAAATATATTTAACCAAATCATTTTTACAGCCCCGCCTGACCGATGGGACTCGGTCCCACCTAAACATCACGCGCCGCACCGCCTGCTCTACTTCGACACATCTGAGGTGTCGCTCGACTACACCATTCTTGGAGCTGAACTGCGACTGCATTACCAACCCCACTTGCCAGAGTTCGTTGACCAGCATCTTGAAGAGGTATTTATTTTATATACTGTTATTTTATAATGTTTTAACTGTTACTGTTGTTTATATAATATTTTACTGTTACTGTTATTTTATTACCTATATTTTAGTTTATTTGGAAATGAATTTAAGTTATTCTGCCTCATGCTACTAAATCTTTTTGTGCTATAATCTCAATTGCAATCTGACTTTAGTAATATTATGTACCGAAATCAAAACATAAATATTATTTTAAAATTAACAGAATTTGAACTAGCATTTCTTGACAATAAATTGACTTTCTCTATCCGCGCACATTATTCATTATTACGCTATGTAAAAATGCCCTTCTAATCGCGGTTATTCTTTTTTTTTTTGTCTGATTTTTTGGGTAGCGTTCAACATTTTATTTTAAAACAGTAAGACGACTATTTACTTACTTCACTTCTTTGGTTATTCGTATCGGTTTTACGGGTGGTTACCACAGCAAAAATCAAGTGTTAATCTGTGTAGTAAATATTTATTCTTAGGAGACGATTATAACGATGTCATTATTGTTCTGAATTAAGAGCTGTGTAAGTAACATGTAAAGAATATCAAGTTGATTCTTTAGGTTCGTAGACAAACGGCGAAGAAGACATGGTTTCGTGATAGTACTTATTTACCTGATTCTGAAAGAATACAAAAATCATAGTATAAGGGACCAATCCAAAAATCTAAATAATAACATAATTAGTATTCCAAGTAAGTAAACTATTAAAAAATTCTTAACAACAAATTCTCAGCTAATTACTTGAGCTTTGGCAAGTACGGAAATCACAACTGGCAGACAAATCTCAACTGAGCTTGCCGATACAGGTAAACTTTTACACTAGAGTAGTCGGCCTACAAGAAATGAGGATTCTTGCTTATAATATAGCACCTCCACATCTCGTCACTTGTTTACCCTAAACCTCTCCAAAAGCTTCTTGCACTTTTCGTCCGCCAAAGTGCTTAATACATTAACACGTTCAAAGTTCTCAAGTCATTACCAAATATAAAGTTTTATATCATTTTCTACCTCCAACGTACGTGACAGCATGTGAAATTCCTACCGGTCAATGCCTCCAGATTTCGTAGCCTTTTGATGTAGGTCCATAAAGGAGTCCTGCCCTGGCCTCAACTTTGCAATATTAGGAAATACCACTTGATACCAACTCGTTCACTTCAGATAATTCGGCTCCACCATTCCCCACAGATTTCTGTCACTCCTACTTCGTAAGTAACCTAACATTCTTTAGACATCCGTAACTTCTCAGTCACTCCCCACCTTTTCCTCAATAAAAGAACATTAACCCAATTGATTCCAAAATCCTTACTCAGCGTATGTCGAAGCCTTTGATCCTACACGCGTACGTCGTGGCAGACGCCTTGGGGTCAGAGCTTGAGGTCGCGCAGTTGGCGCTGCCCCGAGAGGAACGTTGGCTGCAGCTCAACGTGACGCTGCCCACGCTCGCCTGGATCATACAACCCAGTCAGAACCGAGGCTTCAGGCTGGCCGTCACGAGAGAGGGAGAGAGTAAGCTTTCTGGTTGTTAATTCGTCGGTATTAGAGTAATGATTGCTAGAACAATGGAAACGTTTTCTTCATGAGTAATAATCTACATGTTTAACTTAGAAGCTATATCAGAATTTGTGAGAGCTTTCTTAAGAGTACGAATTTTTTTAATTTCGGAATTAATTATTTGCAAATCCAGTTATTTGGCCCGCTCGCACATTGATCGAACCAACTATTATAGTCTATATTTAAGTGTGGTCCTTTATTAAGAAGTCAGGTCTATCTATGAGATACTTCAAGAACATTCCTGTCTACTCTACCACCTCCTCAGAACACGAACTGCCACTGCACTCGGTTGGTGTCTCCACGGCTCACGACCGGGAGGACCATCGTCCGATCCTCGTGTGCTTCTTCACGCGGCCTCAAAACCTCAACCCAAAAATATTCCTAAGCTCTAGAAAAGCTCCAGTTTCATCCTACACAAGATACGTCTTCAAAACAGAGGGGGAGATCTTGTCCAGGGTAGCAAGATCGCCGTCGCTAAGAAATCTGAACCTTCCCAGATGTTAGTCTTGATTGCTTGGAGCCGCTGAGACATTCTTACCTTTGCTAAAGATTTTATATTTAATTCAAATGCAAGGCTCGCTACAAAAGCTATTATTTTCCTGACTAAGCCTGTAAGGCACCCTTGAGAAGCTCTACTAGGCAGTAGCTCATACTTATCAACCATTCGTAATGATGGTAGATATTTATTTACCCTCCTCATAGTGATCATTAGGATGTTAAAGCTAAGGCAATCTGGACGTATTTCAACAGCCGATGGACCACTCAACTCCTAGCATGATCGACGAATGTGCGTAATGAAATTGTATATTTACAGCGGACATCCCACGGAGTGACACCACTTGTCAGATGCGCCCCCTGCACGTCTCCTTCAAGGACCTGGACTGGGAAAATTGGGTCATCGCTCCTGACGGGTACGACGCAAACTTCTGCCAGGGACGCTGTGACTTCCCCATACCACCCGACAAGAACGCCACTAACCACGCGATCGTCCAGACACTGATCAAGGTTTTCAATATCTCTGATTTATCGATTTACGTAATCATTTCCAAGGCACAAATAGCAGTTGCGCAAGATTAAACCCCAGTCCTCAAGTGCGAATTCGCTAACTGTCCGAGTAATTTACCATACACAGCTTCATGAATTCAATTTTTTGGAATGATTGTTGGTTTATGTAATGGATGGATTTTAGTGAACGTTGTATCGATGTGTACACGTTTTCGTTTATTCGCTCTAGATGCGAATAATGTGAACTAGGATGACTCCAGATTATGACCACTAATCCACATGCCATGTGTAGGTGCTTCAGGCCGTGCGCGAGGGCGAGACCGTTCCTCCTGCGGCGTGTTGCACCCCGAACGAGCTGGCCACGATCTCTGTCCTCTACTACGACTACAGCAACAATGTCGTCCTCAAGAAATACCCGAAAATGATCGTCAAAAACTGTGCCTGCAGATAGGCTCGCTTCAGGTACATCACAGATTTCAACGGGACTTTGTTCTTTTTACCCCTTCAGGTTTTTTAATTTGAACTTTGATGTTTTACCACTTCTCCGTCTTTTTTTTATACACTCCGGCACCTCGAGTCGAGGTTTTATTTTTTATTACAGTTCAGTAAATTTAAATGCCCACAGGTTGGTCACTTCGGAAGTACCTGATGACGTTCTTATTTGATCACAATGTAATACTCTATTCCTACAGTAGAATAACTCGGGATTCGTCGATGGAAATGCAGTTTTTGAAGATGGTGCCAGTACCTGAAGAATTCTTATTATTGGACCTAATTAAATTATCGTCCTAAACATAGTCGTAAATCATTAATGGCACTCGTCACATAGTCCATGATATTCTATTTTGTTATCGTAAGTTTACTTAGGTTAGAGCGCGAATGTAACTTCATTTATACTGTCCTCCAACATGCGTAAAAACTGAGGCTACTCAGTCAGCGTAGCAGTGAAATTTTCATTTCATTAAAGCTTGCTTTTTATTTGTATTGAATGTGGTTGGTTGAATATGGTGTTCAATAACTTCTCAGAACTCGTGAGACATAAGTAACATCAACTTTCTCTTAGATGATGCCTAGGTAAATGTTTTAAGAAAAAGAATGTAGAGGCCTTTACACCCAGTTCTGTCGAATCAAATATTTTGCTGTTCGATCCGTCCGATTCTGTGATTGGTTTGAGGTGAAAAAAAAATGTATTAAAAATCCCTTTAGCCCAAATGCCTTGTGGAAAGGATTCTTATTGGTGCTACGTAAGCTTAAGTTACGTTAGGTAATTTCGTTATGTCCATGTAATTTGACGCAATGAGTATCACATGAAAATTGTGCCATATTTGTAACTTCAAGATACCATGTTTCATTTTATTCCTTTAGCTATGCGTTCGAATACATTTTGTGACGAATTAACCTCGCAAATTGCATTTGAAAACAAATACCACATGGATACAAGACGTTTTTGGTTAAATACTACCGACTCTTCTGCCATTAACTTAACTGGAATTCAATAAGGGTTATTCTTCGAACAAACCTTTTTTCTCTGCCCGACAGGAGTCGCGGTTGTCGTTCAGTTAGAACACAGTTATCGCGAAGGCGTGTTCTCACCGAAAAGATTTTGTTTGTGATTAACAGGATGAACTAGGCGAAAAGAAAACCATTTCCAGTTTTACTATTAAACATATATTTGGTGTTAGTACGGACTAGACATCATTATTAGTTACTGAAGTAGTAGTCATAGTAGTAGCAGCAGTGCTATGAACTATGTATGAGTTCGACAGATGGTTACTTACGAGAGTTAGAGGATCAGCTACAATAAAACTCACGACTCTTAACAGTCTAAGAGGTACAGGACCACACCAGTATTATTATCCAACTAAGGCCAAGTTCTTATACTATCATCAGAATAAAAACTATCATTTCCCTAACGTTCACTACAAGTAGTGAACTCCTCCCTAGCTCGGGCAGGCGAAGTATAGGGCACTTCTGAGGTTCTAACTTTCCCTCGACTTTCCTAAAAAAACATCCCTCTTATGTTGAGCACAAAACGCTCAACTCTACCGTCACTTTGTGGACAGAACAACGTTAAAAACAGCTCTAACTTTCGGTAACGTTGCGGAACTCAAATGAATAGCCCAATTGTACAACAGAGCGAATGTTCATACATATATTGCCTGAGCAAAAATTCATAAGATAACCGTCGCATTCGGTCCTAGACCTGACGCTACATTTAAATTGGCTCGCACATATTACTTTCGACTCATCTTACATTGGACATGATCATTGCATTTCATAAGAGCTTATAGATGAACAATTTGAAAACAGCGACTTTTTAAAAGCCGCGGATATATTGATAATACTGAACACCATTCCACGAAATCGCTCCCAATATTACTCTAGAAAGAGGCCTTCATCAAGTTATTTAAAAATGTCACGGGCCCGTGGAAAATTTCTATGCAAATAATGAATCTTGTAAAGTGCTATCAATTCTAGAAGCCACAGTGTTCATTAATCCACTCAATATAACATTTCCAATATCAGTAAAAATTAGGAGCCTCTTCAATTGTTATTTGTTAAGGGAGCCTATCAAGCTAGAATTAGACCGCCACAGTTACATCGAGGACACAGTCATAAAAGGAATGTTATTGTTAGTTCATCACAACAGCATGGAATGCTCTATATTAGTATTATTAGAAATTATTAATGTTACACAAGTCATTTAGCTTGATCAACATCATTAGTTACGAGTGCCCATAAAACCAGTCTAATGGAGGTACCCTGGTCAGTAAGAATTAGCGTGTCGTTAACAGAGGGCAAGAAAACGGCGTCAGAAAGTGAAATAAGCTTGCAGAACTGAATAGTTAGCCTCAATGTAAAAAGGTTGATTTCGTGCATATTTTAAAAATGTAAATGATCGTTTCGTTGTAACAATAGGCACGGAGTAGTAGCATACCGTAATTTAGAATCTTAAACTTCTGATGTAGGTATGAAGTAAAGCATTAAAATTAAGAAGGTAAGCAAGGAAATTAAAGTTACATATAAGCAGACATGAATAGGAACAAACAATAATGTTAATTTTTGGTCAGTAATCCAGGAAACTCAAGTTATTCGCTAAAAAAAATCTAGAGCTACGTTAAAGCGCTAGTGAAGGTTATGCTACAAGAAAGCACCGCTGACGGTATCCAGAACGAAGAAATTTCTTAGCAGATACATGCTATAAATATTCAAGAGGGAAACGTTCAACGAAGAGCCTCAACTTTGCTACGGAATACGCGATGAGAGCGAATAGAAGTAATGAGCTTAATTAATTCGCGATGAAGCGAATAGAAGTAATGAGCACTAGACGTCTACCAAGTATGCTAGGACGTAAAACCTTTTCAAACTTATACGGCCAAATGGCTATTTTTGATCTCCTTTCAAAATCAAGCTGCACGCTGTGCACGAGCTAAACGAAATAAACCGACCGTGATACGAGAAAGAAATCGCTTTATGATGGCTATGTTCAAAACTACTCTGACGGCTTGTTCAAAACTACTCTGACGGCTTGTTCAAAACTACTATGAATATGCTCAATTATCTGTGCAAACAAAATTAAAGTTGGAACCACACTTTAGTTAGATGATTCTTGACTCTGATTACACCGAAATTCGTTACAAGGCTCGAGTGTTGGGCTGCTAGTACGTGTCATTGCAAGGAAATATGACAGGTGAAAAATAACTTATTCGATCTCATAAAATTACCTAATGACTATAATAAAAGTCACAAAAAGTTGGTTGTATCAGATAAAATGAAACAAAAACGCATCTCGTCAACAGTACATTCAGGCGTTGTTAATCGTGACCTGAAGTTTTTGAATCGTAAATAAAGAAATTGCATCCAATTGCCCACCTGGCCCAAGACATTCCACAAGATAGAAAAATAATTCATGACAAAAAACCCTACGTCTAATCGTTTGCCTGTAAAATTTATCAGTGTTATCAGTTTTCTAACAATATGTTAAAAAAACTCCGGAGTTTTTTTTTTTTAAACTCCGGAGAACAATATGTTAAAAAAACTCCTAAACTACTTCTTTAACGTGAAAAAACAACTGAATGAATACGGAAAAATGAGTTAACCAGAAGAGAAACCAAGTTGATATGATCAACACACTTCCATTTGGGCCTAATATTATGTAATATTTGAAATGAATTCGATATCTTATCAAAAATGTAATCAACAGCATTTAACCGTTCAAACTGCACGTTAAGAGTAATCAAAAAGCGGTGACAGTTCCCAAGCATTCATGGCGCCCATTTTTATTTGTTTTTAAAGGCACATGCAACATTTATTATACTCTGCTGGAAGCTTCGTACGAACCACAACCTGAAAATTCGTCGTTCGTTACAAAATAGAATTTATTTTATATTTAGGAAGCAAATACGATTCACAGTAAGTTTAGATTATACAGCTTCAGCTTCAGTGAATCACACACACCAGCATGTGTGCATTAAATAGCATTCAAAATATTGTGAAATTGAAAAATGAGAACATCGGCCTTAATCGAGCAAAATCTGATGCTAGTATTTTGGTGCTATACTTGTATTTTTATAGTTTTAGCCTAATATATGGACAAAAAATCTCTTTGAATAGACAGACTCGCGAAGGAGAAAAGAGCACAAGGAGCGAGTCTCTGGAGCAACCCAAGACCTTAACTCGGTAGGAAAGATATTACAATGCACGAACTTCCAAAGGAAATGGCTTCCCATAATCCCACACCAGTAAACATTAGAAATAAGCAACCTATATTTTCACCTTTCCTTAAGCTCTAGATGATTAATACTGTTAGCGAAGAACTTACAAGAATAAGAGGCACCTGCTCCTGATATGTCTCTTCAGGATAAGTATAATGTACCCAATCTTAAAACTTAGGAGCAGAAATTTAGTAAAATTATGAGACAACTAATATAGTCTTGAAGATCATCAATCTCATGCGGCAACATGGAGTTTTCTTGGTAAATAACCGGTTAATCTATAAGGACCTTTGTATGAAAATTTAATTACTATAAAATTATTTTAAAACCAAACAGTCCTAAATATCGAGAGAATTTAGTTCTTAATCAGTAATTGGGCTTTTTATTGAGGCCTTTTTAGTGTAGAAATCGCTTACTGAGAGCAGCTAGAGCATTAGCACCAGGCTCCATGCATCAACAAGTGAGCCGGAAGTTAGGCCGCAGCATAAATATTGAGCAAGCCGCTCTAAGGTATAAAATATTGCCCCAAAATTGCACCGTACGTTTGGATGACTTGGCTGTTAATTAACGACTTTCTATTGCAACAGTTCCACACAACGAACACGACGCATGCAAGGCAACCATGGTTAAATTGGATTGAATGTCTCAAAAAGCAAAAACAATAAATTCAAAACTTCATTAGTTGTAAAGGATCAAAGTTTTATAAATTTAGATCAATATTGATCAAAGCTTCAATCCACGATAGGTCAGTGACACAGAACTTCCAAGAGGGGAACAAGAATATTTCGAGACTCGAGTTAAAAAAGCCAACTGGGGCGCAGTCGAGCGAACAACGGGAAGCTCTTAATACTTCTCTGGCATCAATGCTTAAAAAAGAGCAAGAATTGTACAGTACAAGCTTGGGAATGCTAATATAAAGGCAAGTTATTCTCAAATACACACGTATTCATGATATGAATACAAGACGGAGGTTGACTGGTAACCTATTAACGGCGTAGTCATCAATCGCTCCGCTAACGGCATTCTACAGCAGGGAGCACGAAGAACCTGGATACGAATAACTAAGATTTGTTACACTCGCGAGTCTCGGCAGTGGCAGCCGCAATACAAAATTTGTAATATCCTCTTCACACGCCCGTTAAGCTTACATAAATCTGCAATCATCTTAAATATATATAGTTGATTTCAAGCAATGGTTCTTAACTGGGTATTTTTTCAAGGATTTCAGCGAGCACATAAAATGTTTGGGATTTCGCAGTTTGCAACACTAGATCGATCAAACAATAGCTGCCAGAAATTTCGCAGTTTGCAACACTAGATCGATCAAACAATAGCTGCCAGAAACGGCGACGAACATTTAGATGCCCACCGAGTTGAGATCCATGCATTATTTCTTCCAAATAATCATTTGCATGCATATAATCTAACGAAGCGATCATCAAACCAATTAATAATGAAAATACTAATAAGTTCCTTCCATTTCAAGCGCATACAGACTGGAGTTACTCGTACCTGATTATAAAAACAGCGCGATTCAAGTGTCCCATTACGTCACAAAAACAGCAAAATTCAAAACACGTTAAAATGCCAATTTTTTCTCAGAAGAATGAAAGACACAACGGTCATTAAATGATTTTTGCTATAACTCACTTTTTTCATTATTGGAAGACTATGACGCGCCTAGAGATAATTGCGGCCATTCAGAAAAAATTCATACCTAATGAACGACAATGAGGTTATAAGGTCCAGTGTATTTATTTAAAACTTAATGTTTATCGAGTTCATACGGATCGCGAACGGAGTGATGGCGCTTTACCGAGCGTCCAACTAGTGAAAGGGTCTCAAAACATGAAAAATTTGTCCACAAGAGAAGACCAAGTCCTCCGTGATACATCAAAAGGACGAACTTAGTATCCTACCAACCATTCTCGTCTAGATTTCCCATTAATTTCATGTTACGTACTAACTGCCTTACGTTAATCCTACCGAGCAAATTCTATGCCGACACAAACTCGGTATAAAATATTACTAGCAATCCTTCTCGAGTTCTAGAACTAATTGAGTTCAGAACATGGAACCAAATCACATCTAATCTCAAATTTCTCAAAACTTACAAAGAATTCATTATTCAGGATGGTAGTCATGCATTTTTCTTTTTGTATGGAAATTCTAATCTCCACCTTAAGCTAAGCAGCAATCGCACCCAATTATAAGCCACGAGGTTAACTTATGGAGGGGGGCGTACAGGCTGAGAGGTTCATCGCTCCGGTGACTTATCGGTTGCTGCAGAGGCTGCTGGTCTGGCCTTAGGCTGGCAGGTCTTTTTATGGACGGGCCAGTCGCGCTGCTGGCAAAATGTCCCGCAATAACGAGCTTCCTGAAAACATTGCAAGGAGTTAGTTAACAAGTCGCTTCGTCAAACGTACATGAGTGGTACATGGTAACCGAGACGTCAGTCTAGATCAGTGGTTCGAGACCCTATGATCGATTAAATACTACTTTGATCCGAAATCCCGGTAAAGTAGCCGCGTAAAACCGCGAAACAACGAACATTGCATTAGCTGCTTTTATTTACTGTTGGTAATATTTTATATAATGCAATGTAATAATACTTAGCGCACGAGACAAATGTGGTGTTTGAATTTAACGTTGAGCAGTTGGGAAGATTAGTGCACCGCACGCCATATATTGCAAATCTTAACCTGATTTATCGTGAATTTTTTCAAGTGAAAAGTGAACTAAAATTGTTCACGAGCACGCAAACGGTCGCGTAGCTGGAAAGCCCTCGCAAACTACTCACTATTTGAGAACCACTGTTCTAGACCAACATTAGGAATCGGTTGACATATGAAACTGTGAAATTGGTTTCAAGATGAAGGCCCCCCCCAAGTGAAACAAAGCAGTCAAGCAATATTAAACTCGTAAGCTGAGGAGGGAAATCTTTCTCAATTATAGATCATTTTAAATTACGTTATATATAAACAATATAAAATAATAACAATAATTATTTGTTTACAGGATTATTTAATAAATAATTAATTTTGATACAGAAAAAAATCTAATATGCCTACAAAGGACTAAATAATATTTTCCATAAGCAAATATGGCGCAGTAGACTTGAGCTAATGTTGGTTCCCAATTGTTACCAAGAATTAAATCAAAAAGTCTGAAGACGTTTTGCGCAGCCAAAATATGGCCAAATAATTCGATGTCCAAGATTTTTCTTTAATATAAAGCTCGACGCAATAAAATCGATGACAAAATCTAGTACAAATATTCAAGAAGAGCTTTTCTCAAGCGGAGCTCAAATAAATATAATCGACGAACCAATTTAATTTGGAAGAGCTTAATTTAACGTTTTTGAGACCTGACAACGTCCACAGATGCTGAACTGCCTGAGGTGCTGCTCGATCTGCGTGCACGGGGGGTTACGGCACTCGTAGTAACCGTAGGGCGGCGTGGGAAGACCGCCTCCCTGCACCGCGGGGTCCTCACACACCAGGCGCTCGACCTCACCGTTGCGGTTGAGGCATGTCCGCACCACACCGCCGGGCTGCTGCTGGTGCAGCCGTTCACGCACCTCCAGGCTGTACTGTGGGCGGAGTGAGGCATTCAACAGCTCTGTTGCCATAGTTAAAACTAGAGGTTTAAATTAAAAGTAGAGGTTGTAAAATTAACTGGCAAAGCTCCAATAAGTGAAATTTATTTTATAGGAACACCTTTACAATGATGGATTAAAAAGAATGACCTCTACTATGTTACCATAGTATCAACTAGCTGTTGTAAATTAACTGCCTCAGCTCTAATAAATGAATCATATTTTAAAGGAACACCTCTACAATGATAGATAAAAAAGAATGACGTCTACTATGTTGCCAGAGTATCGAGTAGAGCTTGTAAATTAACTGGCAAAGCTTCAAAAAAAGATATACATTTTATAAGAACGCCTTTACAATGATAGCTTAAAAAGAATGAAGTCTACTATATTGCCATAGAATCAACTAGTGGTTATAAATTAACTGGCAAAGCTCCAATAAGTGCAACTTATCTTATAGGAACACCTCTGCAATGCTTAAAAAGAATGATGTCAAGTTAATGCGAGAGTCTTAAACCGTCACCTCCTCGAGAGGATCTACAGGCAGCTGGGCAATGGCGACCCAGTAAAGGCATCTCTCTTTCTCCTGCGGCGTCAACGATCGTCTCGCAGGACAATTTTTGGTGCCACCGATGCTGCTGTTGCTGCTGCTATATCCCCGCCTGAGAAACCATCATAAAATCATTAGCAAGAATAGTTTAAAAGATTTTTACAGAAGGTTTTTTGCGCACGATGACTGATTTCAGTGATTTGCTCGGCATAAAACCAATCAAATCTAACTCAATTATATATTATTCTTTAATCTGCCTTCTTGTATTCCAGCTTTAATTAATTCTACAACTGGTTAGCAAGCATCCACAACAAATTTCTTTTCAAAACGAATAAAAAAGTAAATGTTCGTCCAGACATACAATGCAAGGAGTATCACACAAGAGAAATATAAATGGCAGCTATTAACTAAGCCAATATGTTTAAGAAATAATACTAAATGAAAAGATATGCACGAAAAACGAATTCAACAGAAGCTGTAGGGATAAGAAGAAGAACAAAAGCTGAAATTAATAAGAAGAGAACAGAAGCTGAAAGGGATAAGAAAAACAGAAGCTGGAAAGGATGAGAAGAAAAACAGAAGCTGAAAGGGATAAGAAGAAGAACAGAAGCTGGAAGAGATGAGAAGAACAGAAGCTGGAAGAGATAAGAAGAAGAACAGAAGCTGGAAGGGACAAGAAGAACAGAAGCTGGAAGAGATAAGAAGAAGAACAGAAGCTGGAAGAGATAAGAAGAACAAAAGCTGGAAGAGATAAGAAGAAGAACAGAAGCTGAAAGGGACAATAAGAACAGAAGCTGAAAGGGACAAGAAGAACAGAAGCTGAAAGAGATAAGAAGAACAACAGCAGCTGAAAGGGACAAGAAGAACAGAAGCTGGAAAAGATAAGAAGAACAGGTACGATAAGGTCATTGTACGTGCCTAGCGGTGTCGTGGGCCCCCACAGGTACGAGTGCGAGGTTATCGAGTCTGTTGTCGACGGTGACGCCGTTGACGTGCACCACTTGCCAGCCTGGTGCGATACCTCCTTTGTGAAGCTCCCTGCACATCATTACGTCTTTAGTAAACCTTACCTCCACACGCGAAATATAAGCAACAACCTTATTGTCAACCGAGTTCATTACTGCACAGTAGAACTAACAATTGCTTATGCAATTAAGTTATCCCTATATGAATTATTGATCAACGCTTGAACGTCAGTGACGACGAACTCTTAAATTCATTGACATGCTTCGAGATAAGAAGGCAAATTATTGCGATCAAAAGTATACCACTTGACTATTTTCATCAGCCAAATACAACTGCGAAAATTCGTAATGCGTTGAGTTTACAATAGAGCCGGAATAGGAGCATATAGAGAGCGAATGTGCGAATGTAAGTTTTTATCTTCCAACAATTAGGAGATTAACTGGATTGCGCTTGTAGGAACTACTGGCACTGGCCGGCATGCCGGTCGTTTTGGTCAAACAAGTTGAGCAGGTTCTCACCACAACATTGTGTGCAGGTATTGGCAGGCATGCTAGTCGTTATAGTAACAAGTTGAGCAGGTTCTCACCACAACATTGTGTGCAGGTATTGGCCGGCATGCCTGCCGTTTTTGATGTCGTAGGCCCAGGCATAGACAGCGGCCCCGTCTCCGTTGGGGTCGACCTCGAGGCGAGCTTCGAAGGCGTACTGCTGCACCAAGCTGATGTCCCCCTCGTCCAGCAACGCGTACTTCATCTGTACACAATTCAACATCATCAACTGCCTTGTCGAAAGCACAGTAAACATACTTTAGAATGACATTTGGGAAAAACAATTATTTAATGGTCTTCAAAGACTGTTCGGCGTATTAACTGAGTAATACGTGTTGATTGTGAAATACGTACAACCCCTACAATACGTACGGTACATGAAATCAGCTCACTTGCGTACGGCTATAGGGGAACAAAAGCTCCACTAGAAATCAGCACTGTAACTGTAAACTGTAGCACGCTAAGCGAGAGCACGGCGATATCTTCTTAGGTCATATAACTGAGTTTATAGCCGCGGCTGTGCCAAACCGATAAGAACGAGTGACAAACCTGCAAAATGACCGAAGAATGTCTATAACAGAGTGACAATGGATAAACTTTCAAGTTCAACGGTACTTAAAATGTTAGTTCGTTCTCATAACATTAACAAAACTCGCCGGTCACGCGATATTGTTTGTAGCCAGTTGAGCAGCGCAAATTAGATACGTATGACGAGCCGAGATATTTGAATCAAATAACAGGGATATCTACCTAAATCAAAAGAGCACTGCAGAAGTAATTAACCAGAAAACCAGAATTCTGTAACTATTCAACTTGAGCTGCAATGTGACAATCATGGAATGAATGGAACTTCACGAGCAAAACGTTTCGGCGCTGATCACAATTATTACACAACATCAAACATAGGAACTCCGGGCAGGCACGAAGCAGTACACATTAGAGCAAGCAGGCAAAACAAAAAATATGAGCCATGTCATTAACGACCAAACGTAAGCTGCTGAAAAAGCGCGTGTGCTTATCATCAGCCGCAGCAGCAGGCGTAAAGGGTGCAGCTGAGCACGGTTGGCGTTCACACGAAGCGTCATATCGATTTTCAATGAACATAGAACGCCGGGTTTGTGAAGGCCAGACAGAGACTCGCAGGCGCTAGCCATAACCCGTTGCCGCAACGAGCGTGTGAGCACCACCCTTGTACATCGAGGCAAACTCTTGCTGTTGTTCGTCTTCTATAATAATATTCAACTGTTGCCATTCCTGGTACATTCCTGATCTGCTTTGTTTCGTTGGATATTACCATCCATGGAGAACAGAGTGGCATTCTATACTATTAACATTAAATTCCGAATTCTTTATATTTACATAACGTACATCGATATCGCTTATACAAACAACTATGAGCAGAATAAACAATTATAACTCGTCTAAAATTGGTGCTTTGTAATTTCTTCAGAAAATTGTGCAGATAAGCAGAGCTCAAACTTCGAAGAAGACATAAAAGTTGACAGAATGAGACCGCACACTGCCACAAGCAAAACAACGGCCGCGAAGCTTTGCAATTCTACGATGACATCGCGACGTATTCATCGCCGCTTCCCGCATCAGGTTATTGAGATCACAGACAAAATTAGAGCGCTTGTTGCCAGAAGCACATTTTCTACGGCACGATATCTCCCGTACATTGTTGAACGGAATATTTTTGAGCAAAGCGCAGCATCAATGCGAGCAAAATATGATGTTGCAAACATCAAGGCCATAAAATAAAGGTAGTTAAATAGAAAGGTATTGAGGGCCATTAAGGTAATAAAAGGTCATTGAGGTAGTAAAGTAAGAAAGCAATAGCCCCACGTCATTGGCATTTCAGATAGGGATCTTAATATCAGCAACAGCAGCAAAATGATAGTGTGAACACAGCCACTAGAGCACCCGTATAGCATTGGTCATGGAGAAAGAAAGTTGTGTTCAGCTTCCGGCGTGTGCTCAGGGGATCGCCATCTCGAACAAGAGCAGATGACCTGGTCACACACTGAACAGCTGCTCGCGCCGGTAACCATGATACTTCCTCTGTGAGCTCAGCCATAGCTTCGGTCCATGTGCTCCATCCCAGACCACTACACCCAGAACGATGACACGTCAGAGATCAGCCATAGCTTCAGTATATGTACTCCATCCCAGACCACTAAACTCAGAACGATGACACGACAATTCTGGCTTACCATCGGTAAGCAATCATCACAAGAAAGATTCGTAACGTTTCGCGTTCGACGTTGGTTCTGAAAAAGTAATAATACCTTTTATAAACTGTGATCGCATTAGTCTCGTGCAATGATGCCTTTATGAAATCGTGTAGATGGGTTGCAGGCGAGGCACTAAAATACAAGGCAATCCTGTAAATATTAGCAGTTGTTTTATAAAAGTCTTTATTACACACACGTCATCCTTAAATTTTAGTAGAAATGGCATTACAATCACAGAACTCATTCTTTCGGATGGACCACAGTAAATATTGTGAACACATCAATATTGTATAATTATTTGCAGACAAAAGCCAAATCAGTTCATTAAAATCAGAGACAAATAGCACAACTGATAAGGAACTCTCTGGCGCATCAATACACTGCCAGTGTGATTATAATTTTTTACACTTTCCTTTAGACGAAAGCTACGAATTCCATGTGAATGCCAAGTAAAACGCGGTGAACTCATTAAAACATTAAAAATGACATTTTTGGTCATTTTATTCATTTGACAATTTTTTAGTCAACGAAGTGTCACAATATTATTTATAATCCAAGGAGTTAATTCTATACATTGAAAAGCATCAACCAATATTAATATACCCTTAGAGAATCTTAGCAGCAATACATTTCAGCTTTCTCAGCAATGCAGCTTCGTGCAACGAGCCCCATGCATTGAGCGCATCTTCAGACCAACGCTAACTTTCACTAAAGCAATAACACTTCTTTGTGTTGACTCTCTGTCAAACATTCATGCCATCACGACGGCTAAAGTCAGGTTTCTCAACCAAAAAATTCAAGAAAAAAATACCCAAATTTGGCGCAACTGAAAGTTCGAAAGAAAGAGGGAGTTTCTTGCAGATTTTTCACTAGGCTTGTATTGACAACACTCAACATTAGTATTGTTTGAATAACATTGAACCCTGTAAGTAGAATTTAATAAAATGTTTACCATACATAAGGTGTAGAAGTCAAGAGTCCAGTAATGAGATACTCTTTTGTAAACACGAGTCTCGGAAAAGTGTATAACAATTAAGTCTTTTAATTTCACTCGTAACGGCCAAAACGCATATAGGAACGCTTTACGAGTAACTATCAATCAAAGTCCAAGCCCGCTTGTAAATTTTACACGACAGAAAGACGCTTCAGTAAAAACAACACATAAAGGATCAATTAAACATTTCTCCGTATTAAATATCGAAGTCAGATTAACTGAAAAATAAGAACCTAATTCAGTTACTGACCGGTTCAATAATATTTACTTTTAAATAGTACTTTACCATGAATAACATACATTATATAAATCAAGATTTCTAGCAGCCAAGCCTCACAGTTAGATTTTATAGAAAAGTAACACTCGGTATTGTTTCCAGAACTATAGTAATAATTATGGCAAAATTAAAAGAGCCACAAAAGCCACATGCACCAGCAAACTATATGAACAGTCATCACTATATTTAACTCTATTAAGAGGCACATACACCCATATTCATGACACTCTTACAGTAATCTCAAGACAAGCATAAAAGCCTAAGGTGAAGCAGCAGTTGCTGCAGTATTAGAGGCAAGCCTCGACCGGCGTGCAGGAAGGCCCCGACTTTCACCGCGCGCACAAAGAACGCGCGACGGCACAGCGGCGGGGAGCCAAGTTCCCACCACAGCGGCACACGCTCGTCGTAAAGCTCGTTAGCGCACACGGCGCATGCAGATAATCCGGTACGAAAATTTCACTCATAAAAACCGACCGTAATGAATTCAGTTTGAGATTTAAATACAATTATAATCAGGTAATGAGTCAATTCAAGATTTGAAAATATATTTTCTGTTAGGTCAGGGACTAGAAATACCTTCCAGCACTAAGTTAAGCACGTTTGCATTGGTTAAAAATACTCCAAGTAATGAAGATGCAATTAAAGGGGGCTTTGAACCTTTGATTCATGAAAAACTGAATATCCAGTAAATTTTGCTCTAATTTATTCAATTATATTTAAAAAAATGACTTCGCATATGACGCTATCCACATACTGTATTCTTAACGAAAAAGGTCAGAATTTTCGGCATATTTTCAGCAAGCTAATGTGACGGCAGTGTGAGAACGTTTGAGGATGACATAAGAGGTAGGGAAGTCTGGACGCTGTTATTTCTAGCCGACGTCAGCGTTGTAGGTTGGGTGACAGCGTTGCTCAGCGTGCTAATACATTCACTGGCTCGTCGCGAGCAGGAATTACGGCAGGTCAAGGAGTCTTGGCAAGTTTGCAGATGTTGAACAGATCTGGACGTATTGAACATAGTTCACGAATAATGTGATGAAGCACTGAACTGGAACAGCACCCAATCAACCACAATTTATCGGTGCTGAAATATTTAATAGTAATTTTAAACTGGCGACTTGAATATTACTCCAAGAAAATTAGATTGAAATAATTATTTCTTTGAAAAGCTTATATAAAAGAAGTTTATCGGATAATGAAATATCTTGCGAGAATACGTACCGTAAACTGGGGTAACTTAGACCACTTTTTTTTTTAAATGATGCAATTTTTTTACTAGATAAGTTAAATTTAAATTGAAACATGCAAAATACAGGTCTATACTCTAGCTTCACTCACCATAAATTGCTGGCTACTGCCTCTCATACTTTTGAAGTAATTTAAAAAAAATCTATGGTCTTTTTTACCCCAGCTCTGGGGGTATCTTAGACTGTTTGGTAAAATCAATTATATTTTTTGGTAAATAACTCCAAATAAGTCCGGGTTTTGGTGCATTGTAGTAGAACTCTTCTAGTTACATATGCAAATGACAAATTTGAGGAAAGTTTCATAGTTTGCAAATGGGGGGTCCCGCCCCCCAGGTGGTCTAAGTTTCCCCAAATGGGAGAACTCTGACCACCTAATGGCAGCCCTGACAGGGTTAACATAGACCGACTTGGAAATTAAGTTAAATTACCATATATAAGACTCTGTAGAGTCTG